ATGTTATTATTATTATTATTAGTTTATTCCGTGGCAGAAACAGGCTACCATAAATTTGCCCAAATGTCTTTAAAATGGAGCCAAACATTTTTGAAGGAGACTTGAATTTATGTTGAACGTCTCTGAAACACTTTCAATTTAGTTCCAGTTCAACCTCAGGTGCATTGTGGATATTTCAAATTCACACTGAACATTAGACTGATGTGATTTTACTATCATTAAGATTTTAAATATTCATTAGATAATTTTAGTTGTCACAATACGTAAATGGGATTTTTAAAGAGTTAATCAAGTGCATGAAAATTCCCATTACTAACAAATCTGCATCCCACAGCATTCTCCTGGAAGACCAACTGAAGTTTTTCTAACTAGCTTCATAATTGTGGGTTATTGTGCTGGTGAGGGCATTTTCAGAATGATTAATTTAAAGGTTTCTGCCTGGCTGAGCCTTGCTGATTTTCTGTACAGATGAGGCTGAAAATCCTCCATATCAGTAGGTAAGGCTGTGTTGAAGTGTTGGCCCTTGACTGTTGCCCTGCAGCAGCTTTAGCATGGCTTGCCACCACCTCCTTCTCCTTATGTGAGTTACTGCGCTGGTAATGAGCTGTAGAAACACATACAAAATGAGAAACTGACCTGCAGTTCATTCTTAAACACCTTAACTGAAGATGAAAGTAGAGGCATGAATCGAGGGCACGGCGATCTTTCACCTTTAATGTGTGTAAGTACTATCATTAGAGGCTTTTGCAGAACATCACAGCCAACCAAGGCACATTGTCACAATGAGGAGTCTCAAGATCAAAGTGCGAGTGAAAATAAAGAGTTTATTTAGCGAAGGACAGAGACAACAGCAGATAGGAACTCCAGCCGAGATCCTCTATACCTTCACAACAACCGTGAAGAGTTATCCAACTCAGTGTGGACACATCCGACGTGGGTGCAGGATAATCCGATACAGGCTGGACGAGAAACGGGAAACAGTGAAGAGCTGACAGAAAAACAAGACATGATTAACGAACCAACAACACACAATGCAAATGCCAGCTAGATATAGGCAGATTATGAACCGGGACAGGCGGATTAATAGCTGAATGAAAAACGGGCTTTAATTTGGATACATGAAACACCGGATGAATTCTCCTGTACGCTGGAGAAAGTTTGAGGCAGACTGCCACCGGACTAATAATTTTGGTTACAGTAAATGGGCCAATAAATTTGGGCGCAAGCTTATTACTGACAGACCGGAGAGGAATATTTTTAGATGAAAGCCACACTTTTTGACCAACGACGTAGACGGGAGGCTTCGACCGGTGGCGATCGGCCTGAGCCTTGGTGCACGCCCCCACATGGAGGAGGGTCTGTCTAGCCCTGCTCCAGGTGCGACGGCACCTCTGGACAAAACCGTGGGCACAGGGGACCGCGACTTCGGATTCCATACTCTGAAAAACAGGTGGCTGGTACCCTAAACTACACTCAAATGGAGATAGGCCCGTAGCTGAGACTGGTAACAAGTTATGTGCGTACTCAACCCATGAGAGCTGCTGGCTCCAAGAGGAGGGGTTCTGAGAGACCAAACATCGCAACATACGTTCTAAATCTTGGTTGGCCCTCTCCATCTGACCGTTACTCTGGGGATGGAACCCTTCGACCGGTGGCGATCGGCCTGAGCCTTGGTGCACGCCCCCACATGGAGGAGGGTCTGTCTAGCCCTGCTCCAGGTGCGACGGCACCTCTGGACAAAACCGTGGGCACAGGGGACCGCGACTTCGGATTCCATACTCTGAAAAACAGGTGGCTGGTACCCTAAACTACACTCAAATGGAGATAGGCCCGTAGCTGAGACTGGTAACAAGTTATGTGCGTACTCAACCCATGAGAGCTGCTGGCTCCAAAAGGAGGGGTTCTGAGAGACCAAACATCGCAACATACATTTCAATCTTGGTTGGCCCTCTCCATCTGACCGTTACTCTGGGGATGGAACCCAGAAGAAAGACTAACAGTCGCACCCAACAACCGACAAATCTCTCTCCAAAATTTGGAAACAAACTGAGGCCCCCTGTCAGAGACCACGTCCACCGGGAGGCCATGTATGTGAAAAACGTAGTCAATGAAAGCAATCACTGTTTCTGAAATGAAATGAGTTGCCTTCGAGAACCGGTCCACCACGGTCAAAATCACCATGTTTCTCTGTGAGGGTGGGAGACCTGAAACAAAATCTAGCGAAATGTGGAACCAGGGTCTCGAAGGAACCAACAACAGTTGAATGAGTCCAGCAGGGGGTCGATTGGAAGACTTATAAACAGCACAGACTGAGCAAGCCAAAACAAAAAGACGAACGTCGCGAGCCATAGATGGCCACCAGAACCATTGTTTAACGTGAAACGTGGTGTGATTAACCCCAGGATGACAGGCTACCTTGGAGCAATGACCCTATCGGATAACTTCGGACCTTAAACAATCTGGCACAAATAACCAATCCAGTGGGCTTCTGGGCGGGGGCGTTACCCCTTAAGAGGCCGTGCGGACCTTCGACAAAAAGTTTCTGTGGCACAATGGGCTCTGAAAAAGACGGGCGCTCCGAATGATCAAAAATACGGGATAATGCATCCGCCTTGATGTTTTTTTAACCCGGACGGTAAGAAATACAAAAATCAAAACGACAGAAAAAAAAGAGCTCAACGAGCCTGCCTAGAGTTTTATCTTTTGGCGGCCTTGATGTATTCAAGATTCTTGTGGTCAGTCCAAACAATAAAAGGAACCCCCGAACCCTCCAACCAATGACGCCACTCTTCCAAGGCTAGCTTGACTGCCAGCAACTCTCTGTTACCAATATCATAATTACATTCGGCAGGTGACAAACGGTGAGAAAAATACGCGCAAGGATGCATCTTGACGTCCGCGGAGGAGCGCTGGGATAAAACCGCACAAACCCCCACCTCTGACGCGTCAACCTCCACCACAAACTGCCAGGACGGATCAGGGGCAACAAGGATGGGAGCTAAAACAAAGCATCTTTTCAGTTTGGTAAACGTAGCCTCCGCTGCGCTTGACCAACTGCACAGAGTCTTGGTGGAGGTTAAGGCAGTCAAAGGAGCGGCTAGCTTGCTAAAATTGCGAATAAACCGGCGGTAAAAATTGGCAAAGCCCAGAAACCTCTGCAGGGCCTTTGCGGGAATCTGGGGTTGGCCAAATCACCACAGCCTGAACTTTGTCGGAATCCATGAGCACCCCCTCGGCCGAGACGATGTATGCCAAAAAGGGAACAGACTGTGCATGAAAAACGCATTTCTCCGCCTTGACATAAAGCCCATTCTCTAACAGCCTCTGAAGCATGCCTGACATGCTGAACATGCTCCTGGAGAGAATGAGAAAATATCAGTATGTCATCCAGGTAGACATAAATAAACTGATCTACCATATCTCTCAACACGTCATTGACAAGTGCTTGGAATACCGCGGGAGCGTTTGAAAGGCCGAAAGGAAGAACAAGATATTCAAAGTGCCCCCTGGGGGTATTAAAAGCAGTTTTCCATTCATCCCCCTCTCTTATGCGAACCAAATGATAAGCGAGATCCAATTTCGTGAAAAATGATGCCCCCTGCAGACGCTCGAAGGCCGATGACATCAACGGTAAAGGGTAAGTATTCTTCACCGTGATGTCGTTCAACCCTCGATAGTCAATACAGGGATGAAGAGAGCCATCTTTCTTTTTCACGAAAAAGAAACCTGCACCAGCTGGAGAAGAAGAGGGACTGATCTTGGCTGCTAGAGAATCAGAAATATATTCCTCCATAGCCTCCCTTTCCAGGGAGGAAAGCGAATATAATTTGCCTGTCGTAGTACTTCTTTTGTTTGACTTGAGCTCGTTCCACATTTTCCCTTACTATGTCAATAAGCAGTTTTTGATGGTCTAAGGTAGGATAAACAGGGTTTTCAGGACTGGGAAGTTTTTGGAGGGCTCTCTCCATTGGCCCTTTCAGTTTACGGCCAAAAGCTATCTCTGCAGGTGAAAATCCTGTACTCTCATGCCACGCTGAGCTTATAGTGAATCGGAATTCCGACAGCCATCTGTCCCAATGCTTATGTTGTTCTCCTACATATGAAGCAATCATGGGTTTTAAATTCCTGTTGACTCTCTCCGTCAAATTAGTTTGCGGATGATATGCAGTGGTAAGTTTCTGTATTACCCCCCATTGTTTGCATAAAAGGTCAAGAAGGTGAGAGGTGAACTGTGTACCTCTATCAGAAACGAGATACGCCGGTGTTCCCCATCTCGTGAAAATTTCCTCCACCAGAATTCTTGCAATGAGTGATGCTTTAGCAGTTCTCATTGGGAATAGCTCTACCCACTTGGTAAAATAATCTACCACAACAAGTAGATATTCATTCTGCTTGGGGCTTCGGGGAAAAGGTCCCATAATGTCCACACCTAGCATATATCCTGGTTCAACGACAGGAGTGCTTTGTAACTGTCCAGGAGCCTTAGTAGTAGAAGCTTTGTACTTTTGACATGACTGGCATTCCTTACAGTACTTCCACACATCATTTCGAATACTAGGCCAGTATACAGAGTCTAGTAGCCTAAGTAAGGTTTTCATCTTCCCTAAATGACCACTGAGAGGATTGTCATGTGCATACTGTAAAAATACCCGTCTAAAAGCATTGGGGATGACTAACTGCACTTTCTGGCCCTTTTGACCATCTGGAACACTCCGAAAAAGAAATCCATTCTCCATCACATAATGAAATCTCATCACATCTTTGGTAGACTGCTCTCCGACTTTGATGGCTAACTCTTGGATTTCTGGATCATTATTCTGTTCCATAGCTATTTGTGAGAGATCCACTGGTACATTGCATGGTAGAGACATAGATTCAGTGGCGATACTGATGAGTAGGGTATCTGGTGTGCAGTCGAGACCCCTTGATAAAACATCAGGAACAACGTTGCACTGTCCTTTTCGATACCTTACAGTGAAATGGAAACCTTGCAACCTTATGGTCCAACGAATCAGACGAGAAGAAGGTTTAGGGTGTTGAAATGCCCATGTCAAAGCATTGTGGTCAGTAATGACTTCAAATATTCTCCCTTCCAGATACTGCCTCCATTTTTCTACCGCCCATACAACTGCTAAACATTCTTTTCTGATACAGAGTAGTATCTTTCAGCATCTCTCAACAAACGTGATGCAAAAGCAACAACATGCTCTTCCCCTTCAATATCCTGGGTAAGGACTGCTCCAAGTCCGATATCGCTTGCGTCCGTTTGAACTTTAAAGGCCCTGTTAAAATCGGGAGGGGTCAACACAGGCGCTTGCATGAGTGCTTGTTTAATGTCATTAAAAGCTTGCTGACATTGCTCAGTCCATTTCCACTTAACATTCTTTTGTTTTAGGGCGTGTAATTGAGCTGCTCTTTCAGAAAAACTGGGGATAAACCGATGATACCAACCGGCCAGACCTAGAAACCTTTGCACATCCTTGATGTTTTGAGGTATAGGAAAAGATTCAATGGCAGAGACTTTGGCTGGATCAGTTTTCACTCCCTCTTGTGTCACAATGTGTCCAAGAAATTAAAGTGAGTGTTGGATGAAGTTACGCTTTTTAAGATTTAGGGTGAGACCTGCCTTGTGAAGACGTGCAAACACCTGTTCAAGATGCTGGAGATGGTCAGAAACGTTACTAGAATAGACAACAATGTCGTCAATATAGACCATGCAGCACTTTCCTTTAACCTCCCTTAACACATGTTCCATAAGTCTTTGGAACGATGCAGCTGAGTTTTTTAGCCCAAACGGGAGACAAAGAAATTCATATAACCCTGAGGAGGTAACAAAGGCTGTCTTCTCAACACTGTCCACTTCCATTTCCATTTGCCAGTAACCACTTTTTAAATCAAGGGTGCTAAAAACAGTGGCACCATGCAAAGACTCTAAAATGTCCTGAATTTGGGGCATTGGGTAGGCGTCTAGATGGGTCTTAGCATTAAGACCCCTATAATCAACACAAAACCTAGAACTTCCGTCCTTCTTCGGTACAACAACCACTGGTGCTGCCCAGGGTGAAACAGAGGGTCGAATAATCCGTTTCTCCAAAAGCTCTTGAACTTGAGCCTCAATGAACTGGTGTTTCTCCATTGAAACCTTGTACGCTCTTTTTCTTACAGGGATCTCATCTGTGGTAGTGATACGATGTTTGACACAATTTGTTCTGCCAAGCTGTTGAGTGCACACTGTGGGCCAACTTAACATTAACTCCTCCAACTTATTTTGAACGCTAGAGTCTGAATCTACCATTTGTGCGATTCGTAGAATCTGCTGGTGGTCTTCTAGACTAACAGTGGGCATGGCCAAATAAAAATAATTTGAAGAATGCCCATTGTAGTGCGTAAAAGGAAAAATCTTGGGTTCCGTTGAGGTAGGTAACTGGAACTGTGCTTTTTTAAAATCCAATACCATCTGGGACTTTAATAAAAAATCAATTCCCAGGATAATTGGTACAGTTAGGTCGGAGTCTTGCATAACATAGAAGGTCACTTTCCTCTCCTGCCCTTGGACTTCACAATCCCAATGAACTTTACCCAGTGAACTTTGCCTCGGTCCATTTGCTAATAGGAACGTCTGATCCCCACTAGGTTGATAATCTTCATGGCCACTTAATTTCTTCCACAGAGACTTTTGAATCAGAGAAAATGTGCTACCTGTATCCACTATGGCAACAACATAGCTGTTCCGGACTATTAACGGAATGGCGATGTTTTTGAAATCATGGCAGAGGATCCCCAAATCCAGGTGTGAAAAACTTGTTGCATCTTTCCCAAAAAGACTCATGGCTGTATTAGATCAAAAGGGTGCTTCTACTAAATACTGAGCAAAGGGTCTGAATACTTAGGACCATGTGATATTTCAGTTTTTCTTTTTTAATAAATCTGCAAAAATGTCAACAATTCTGTGTTTTTCTGTCAATATGGGGTGCTGTGTGTACATTAATGAGGAAAAAAAATTAACTTAAATGATTTTAGTAAATGGCTGCAATATAACAAAGAGTGAAAAATTTAAGGGGGTCTGAATACTTTCCGTACCCACTGTATGATGAAAATTACAGGCCTCTCTCATCTTTTTAAGTGGGAGAACTTGCACAATTGGTGGCTGACTAAATACTTTTTTGCCCCACTGTAGCTGTTCCGGAGTATTAACGGAATGGTGATGTTTTTGAAATCATGAGCATCTGAACTCTGATCCAGCAACATGACTCTATTGGCACCCTGTGAGGATTTGCGTTGGAAATCTGGAGCAACAGGAGATTTCTTTTTCTGCTCTTCACTGTTGACTTGGCTCCAATACCTCTTTGATTCATTGAAATCCTTCTCAATTTGGGTTCCAAGTCGCACTAATTCTCCCACATTTTTAACTGTCCCACGAAGTAAACTAGCTAGCCGTGGATTGCAGTTCCTTAGAATGGCTTGACATGACCGAGAAGGAAGAATCAATTCCTTCTCGGTCATGTCCTTTTTCCATCTCAAACACAGGGCACGATAGTGATAAGCAAAATCTCTCAAACTTTCCTTAGGGCCTTGTTTTCTTTCAGCAAGCTTTCTTGCAGCCACATCCTGGTAATCCTCACTTAAAAACGAAAGCAGAAACTTCTCTTTGAACTGTTTCCAACTCGTTACATTTTTCCTTTCTGCTATCCACCAATCTTTAGCAGTGCCTCTTAACACAGCAGTGAGATCCGCAATTACTTCTTCATCATTGAGGGGTCGAACTTCGAAATACTCTTCACAGCGCTCCACAAACAAAACAGGATCATCCTCAACCGCATTCGTGAAACTGGGGAAGTCCATCTTTACAGGTGGTTTATACTGAATGGTAGAAGGGTTATGTTGAATGGAAACACTACTAGTCGTATTATGAATTGGAGAGTGGGAAACATTTACTTTAGGAACTCTTGGAGTAGAAGAATTTGGGCTCAGTAACTGAAATCTTTGTTCTAATTGCTGGTCTCTTCTCTTTAAACAATCAATAATCGATTGACCCAAGTCCTTAACCATCAGCTCCATCTGTTGCTTGACTCTTCCACATTCACATCAGACATGATAAGCCATCTTTTCTTCCAATTTTTTACACTGCACATCAAACGCATCAAAAGAAACTTGCTCACTCATCCTTCGATCGAAGTTAGCCATTTGGTTTTCAATCTCAGTGAGACTTTCCATTAAAGTTGTGTCACAGTTGGGTCTGACTTCTTCATTCACCTCTATTGGTGGTGGCGGAGGAGGGAAACACAACTCGTCCACATGAACATAATGCTCGACTTGCTCGCTGTCTTCATCAGAATCAATATATAAATCACTAAATGTGTTTATCAGTTCTTTCATTGGTTCTCTTCTGGTTGTGAATGTCTCTGATGAAAAATCCATGCCACCAATGCACTCATCTTTATCCATAGCAGATGATGGTAAAAAAAAACTACACTAATGAACTAAGACTGCTTACCAGACTGATTGTTTTACACCTGTGTGTTTTCAAAGCTGAGGGTCCCTGTTTGGGCGCCATTTTGTAACCATCCCAGTGAACTTTTTCTGGTCGTGAATCACAAATTAATTTAGGGGAGGGTCCCTCAACTGAAAACGACACATAACACAGTAGTGCATTACAAAATGTTTATATAAATAAAGGCAATCCACAGATAATTATGGCATGGTGTATGAAAAATAGTCAATAAAGTATTTTTGACTACAAAACAAACCGTCGCATTAATCATTTATCAAATAAAGGGAAAAAAAACATATCTGGTTGAATGAGTACTCATCTCTAAGCCGAAACAAGCACTATATCCGAATACTGAAGTCCACAATGATGATAGGAGTTAACAAAATCCAGTAATCCGATAGCAAGCGTAGCATTAATAATCAGCAATCCGAGTTTCCTCAAAACATAGAGTGTGTTGCAATTCTTTGTTGTTGATTTGTTCCTCGATGAGCACAGAGTTTTGATGAAGTTACTTCTTAATCCATTTATGAGGCATTCAAAATAAAGAAAATGGAAAAACAGAAACAAAAAAAGTTCTTTTGATTGAGCTGAAAACCTAAGTTTCTCAAACTAAACTCCATTTGCGATAAGATTATGTAAGTGAAAGCCATGCTTCCGCTTAACCAAACAGGTATCTCTTACTCTACTGCCTACATCCATTTTATCCCTTACCACAGAAAATCCTGTAGGGCCCCCTGGAGCACAGTAGAAGAACTACACACAAAAACAACAACATAGTAACTGTACTATAGTCGGTTACACGATGCAGAGGTAGAGAAGCAGCTCGAGACTTACTGAACACTCCCTTCAGGTCTAGGTACTCACAAGGCACGTTAGACAGATCCGTGCTTTCATCCTGAAACACAGAACAAGACACAGAAGAACACGCAGATAACAAACAGGAAGCATGACAAAATTCGCTCCAAGCGAAAACAGAATTCATGCGCCAGTTAATATGGGGGTTATGGAGCACAAGCCAGGGATATCCCAGAACCACAGGAGCAGAGGGAGTGTCAGTCAAAAGAAAGTCAATGTTCTCTGAGTGATTGCCAGAGGTGATGAGTCTTAAGGAGACAGTGGTGTGAGTGACAGAGGGTAAAGGCTGACCATTCAATGCAACCACAGAGATGGGCTGGGATCGCAACCAAGGGCATCTCGAGCCTGTGAGCGAGATTAATGTCTAAAAAATTACCCTCTGCTCCCGAGTCCAGTAGAGCCTCACAGTCATAAACCAGTGAATGCAATTTCAACCTAACAGGGAGATGAGTGGCTGAAAAAGAGGATTTAGTCAGTGTAATCTCAACCGTCAGTAACCTCTTACCAACTGGCGGGTACTAGCTTTTACCGGACACTGCAGAGCGCTGTGGCCGGCGGCTCCACAATACAAACACAGTCCCCTCTCCCTGCGTCTCTGCTTCTCCTGCTGTGAAAGACGGGACCTTCCCATTTGCATAGGCTCAGGATTCAGAAGAGACATTACCGTCTCACCAGGGATGGATGAAAAGTGACCCTGTGGACTGACCGGCAACCCTAGAGGTGTCCGTGAACCCCTCCACCGCAACCTGGTATCCACCTGAATGGCCAGGTCTATGAGCTTATCCACACAGGTGGGTAATTCCAATGAATAAATCTCGTCCTTAATAGAGTCAGAAAGCCCATATAAATACATGTCCCATTGTGCCTCAGAATTCCAACCACACTCCGCAGCCAAAGTGCGAAACTCAATAGAGTAGTCGGTTACGGTGCGATAACCTTGACGCAGCTCCGCGAGAAGTCGCGCCACTTCCCTGCCAGAAGCAGCGTGATCAAACACTTTCTTGAGTTCCTGGAATGAAATGCCTGGAATGAAACGCAGCAAGGAAGCTTCTGCTCCCACACAGTAGTTCCCCAGCTATCCGCCCGTCCCGAGAGCAAAGTTATAAGAAAGGCCACTTTAGATTCCTCTGTGGGAAACGACGAAGGTTGGAGAGAAATGGTCAAGGAACATTTGGCCAAAAATTAGCGACATAACTGGGGTTCACCGGAGTAAAACGCTGGAGGCGGAAGGCGGGGTTCGGTGGAGCGGACGGTCTGATCCACAGGAGTAGGTGGGTTGGGTGCAGATGGATGTTGGGCCAAACCGGTCTCCATCTTTAATTGCTGAAGCTGAGTAGTTAACTCCGAAACCTGGGCCACCAGAGCCTGGACAGCACGACCCGTGGCCATCATCTGATCCTCCTGGCGCTCCATACGTATGTTGTTCTTAGACAGAAAGTCTCTCAACTCTGTTGCACTCGCTGGATCCATTATGGTCGGTTCATTCTGTCACAATGAGGGGTCTCAAGATCCAAGTGCGAGTGAAAATAAAGAGTTTATTTAGTGAAAGACAGAGACAACAGCAGATGGGAGATCCTCTGTACCTTCACAACAACTGTGAAGAGTTCTCCAACTCAGTGTGGACACATCCGACGTGGGTGCAGGATAATCTAATACAGGCTGGACGAGAAACGAGAAACAGTGAAGAGTTGACAGAAAAACAAGACATGATTAACGAACCGATAACACACACTGCAAACGCCAGCTAGATATAGGCAGCGCAACTAACTACAGCTGTGCGCTCTGATTAGGCCGTCAGCTGTGGTTACTAGGGAACGAACACACACACACACCAGACAGAGACGCAAAATGAACACACGGACCCATGAACCGTGACACACGTAACTTGAATTACGAGACAATGGTATACATCTGTGGTATTTTAAATCTGAATATGTAAAATAATAGCAATGAGCAAGGTCACTTATAACATAATACTGTGGTTTTATTATTTAAAAGAAAATTTACTTCCATACATTTACACATTAAAAGTTGAAAATTGGTCACTTAACCCTCAGGCAATTGAAGATGTAGATGAGTTATTTTTTTATGAAAGAAGATTTGGAGAAATGAAGCATTCCATCACTTGTTCACCAATGACTCACTAAAGTGAATGGGTGCCGTCAGAATGAGAGTCCAAATAGC